CAGGACCACGAAGCCCGGGACCGCGAGGCCCGGCCCGTTAGGCCCACTAAGGCCCGGGCCCGGACCAGAATACAACATTACTTTAACCATTAGTCATAGACTTACTAAAACTAATTAAGTACATATAAAAATTGAAAAACCAAATAAATAAGGTTCTTTCTCTCAAAGAATCACATGCAAAAAACTCTTTCCATATTTGAGCGTGATTAACAACATTAGAGTAAGACGGAAAGGAAATTTCATGGACGAGGTAGCAAATAAGGTGATGAAATACTAAAAAAAAATACAATATTTCAAAATTCTAAGCAAAAAGGAACTTTTTCAACGGGTATAGTTGAAATTCATTGAAAACACATAGATAAGTCAATATACAAAATTTGAGGAAGATTGGAGGTGATTTGGACTGGTTTTGTATCAAAATTTATAATTAAATCGAGTTCAAAAAATTCTTCTGCGACACATGTATCAAACATGTATCACGCATGTATCTCACACACAGGTATACATAGATATACATGTGATACACACTTGATACAAATATGATACATATGTGATACACAATGTGATGCACATATCATTTTTTTATGTTCAATTTTTACTTCGAATTTTCAATTCAAACTACCTCAAAACCTCACCAAATCATCCCAAAATTGAGATTGAAGCTCCTTAAGATGTACCCAATCTATTCTAATAACACCCACTCAAAAGAGAGCAAAAAATTTGACCTTTTTTGATACAAATAGCTAAATGGTTAATATTAGTAATATTTGGCTAATATTAGTAATATTTTATAAATTGGCCAATTTTTGTAATGAGCTACTTATAAATGGACATAGCCGGTAGTTCCCCCTTAACCCTTTGTTGCCTGCAGAATACAAATGCCCGCATAATTAATGTGTTAAAACCATTTTCGTACAAGTTGAGGTAAATGTCTAAAGCAAATATCGAAACTATATCCAGTATATTTTCTGTTTGTTTTAGAAATAAGCTAGTACTTTCGTTACAGTTCAACAGTCCAGGGATTGCCCTTTTTCCACCATAATTTTCTACACGAGTGGATGCGATTTTCATGAATTGGAACATCTCTTTTATATCTTAGAAACCACATAACGCACAAAAATATAAATTATTGTGCATGTTTGCTTGTCACCAATCTTCTTAAATATGGCAGCAAGTTCTTGCATTTTGTTCACTACTTCATCAGCATTTTGTTAACTAGCCAAAAACCTCTTTATTAACTAGCCATGCAACAAAATTAGGATAGAAAGCAGCTGAGTAATCCAGCATTTTGTTCACTACTTCATCAGCATTTTCAGCATAAAAGGAGTGCAAATGCACACAGCAGGACAAGTCAACACTAGAAAAGCAATACTTAACTCTGTTTCAAATTAAAAGTAAATGTACAATGTCATCTCAGCATTTCATAAACATCTGAATGATTCTGAAAATATATAAAAAATAATAATAATAATAATAATAATAATAATAACTCCAACAATGGACACTAATATATCAAACGACATTGTCAAAAGCTTTTTTGTAACAAAAGAAAGAAAAAAAAAAGAGAGATCAAATTTATAAAAGAAATACCTAAATTGCATCGAAACCACAATTTTTTAAGTTTCTCCGGCTAGGATGTGAGAAATTTCATAAAGGATATGGGAAAACTAAACACAAGAGTAATAAGAGTTTTACAATGGGAGAACTAAAAAGGAAACGGTTTTAAATAAGGAAAGATATTGAAAAGATATGATGGAGCTAAAAGTATGGAAAGATTTTAAATGTGGAAGAGCTAAAATAAGAAAAGAGTCGAATAGTAAGGAGATATCCTGACCCTTTTGTTAAATAAACATGACCTTATTCAATTGAAAAACTTTAAAAAAAAAAATTAATCAAAATTCAAAGTACTATATACAATTCAGAAATATATGAAAGAAAACGTAATTCCTCTGGTGCAAAATATTCCTTTACCTTCTATACTTTGAACAAAATTTAATTCGGAGTTGCGCTTACTTTCTTACTTTCAAGCTACTAAACATGATAATAGACACTAATCATTTATCACACAAAAATTAGACGGAAGTATGGGCACATCATTCTTTACGGAAAAGGTAATCTAACCAAAAGATTGTTTATGAAAAAGTTTGGGCGTGATCGGACGACATAGTAATATTTATTACCTCATATATAAAAGAAATATAGTTAAAAAGAAATATAGTTAAATAATATTATGAAAATGATTTAATTATTCATCTTCGCAGGCTAAGATACTCACAGTATTTTTCTTACCAACTACAGAATCAAACGTAAAAATCGGAAGATTACAACAGTTAAGTGCCGTCATACAACTTACACAACTCTCAACTACCTTGGCAGAACGTAGCTATCAATTGAGGCGTAACATACTAGATCAGCATTTCTGAAACACACGAGAGCCTTTCAATTAAATTAGATATTATCAAAAAGACATATTCAAATCGGTAAGATATCTCTACAAATATACAGCTAACCCTGCCGGATAAAACCATTATGGTACACCTTGAAGCATTACACAATCTCCAAGATCTCAATAACACATCTCTGTCCCATAGAATTCAGATAGCAACGCAAGCTGAGCTTTCCTTGCTTTCCCCACTTATAATGAGGCATGAGCTGATTACTGTGGTATAGTTGTTAAGGTGTTTCTCGACAAACATAAAGCATCATATGATGCAAGTTCACTGGGAATTCCCGAAGAATCACACTTATATAATGAAGCTCTGCATCTAGAATTCCATAGATCCACTCTTTAGCCTTTCCATTCGCGCCTGGAGACCTGAAAGTGCCTTCTCATCCATAGGAAGAACCCCACTCTGAATGGAATTTTCAATGCTAGAATGTTCAATACCAGGAGCTTGAGTTGACACCATGTGGCTGACATTACCATTCATGGACATTAGTGTTCTACTACTTGGGTCCGGGTTCCCCCCAGTTGCTGCTAATGACATGCTTTTCATTCTTTCGCGGATTGCTTCTAGTGTTCCACTAGTAACTGCAACAAAAGCTAACTGGTAACTGACATTTGTTGCGAAAAGTTAATATATCAAAAAGGAAAAAAGGAGGAAAAGGCTAAAGGAGAAATAGCTTAGCACATGCATACCTCCAGAAGGCAATCTATCATTTCTTTGTTCCCCCAATTGGTGCCGTAACTCCAAATGTTCAGATGAGAGTCCTCTTGAGAGCAGGGCATTACCACCCCTGTCATCTTCGCCATATGACGGTGGCAAACTAAATTGTGATGGTTCAACTTTATTGTTTACAGATTTCGCATCATTCAATGGGTTTGTATTTACGGGAGATAACGTGCCAAATTTGGGAGAAGACAGGTTTAATGAAGATGGGGGAGGAGTTGACATGGGTACACTAGAAGGCGTCCTTCCAGCCGCAGCATTCTTTTCCATCTGCAATATTATTTACACACAACAATTGCTTCATGACTGACAACTCTGAGTCTATAAATGTGTAGGTCAAAGAGATCAAATTCACACCTGGGCAAGACCATCTCTAATATATGTTCGGAATGCCTCACTAGCATTTTGCAGCTGAGCAAATATATCAACCTAAAGCAGATTGGACAAAATGATATTACAAGAAGATCAGCATTATAGGCAGGAACATAAGTTGACACTTAGAAGGATGAAGTATTATACCTTGGGATACAATTGTGTGATCCGGTACAACTCATAAAGACCAATTGTGCATGTTTGCTTATCACCGATCTTCTTAAATATGGCAGCAAGTTCTTGCTGTAAAACACACAATGTAACACAACTTTTTTATTAACTAGTACAAAAGAAAAGGGCAACCCGGAGCATGAAGCATCACACATTCACACAGGGTCCGGGGAAAGGCCGCACTCAAAGGGGTGTGATATAGATAGCCTAACTTAATGCAATTATTAGTGGTTAATTCCATGGTACGAAACCGTGACATAGGTCACACAGAGACAACATTACCATTGCTCCAAGGCATTGTATTTCACGTGATCTACTTCAATGTAATAGATTGTAACGTGGAATAGCTGATGAACGAAGGGAAATTCACCTTTGAAAGGAAAACAAGCTAAAAAAAATGATGGCGAACAACACATTATACCTTCAGCTGTGCATCTGCATTATGTGTTGCAGGTGCTGGATTATTCGCTGCAGAATCACCCCAGTGAGTTTGCCCAGGTACAGACGGGGTCAACATCCTTGCAGCTGCCAAGGTCTGAAAGATTATTAACATCAGTTGGGAACTCCACATGAATGACTAGAGCATAGAAGCCACATGAATGCAAAAAAACTGCATGACCTGAAGGTTAAGATCAATGTAAGCAAGAATAATGGGTGGTGGTTGCATGTCTATCGGCACCATCGATAGGTGACCTTTAATGGCAGTACCACGAAGCTTGACAAGCTCATGCAACACAGTTTTCACCATTCGTAAAGGTTTATCATCGGCTCCCGCTCTGTCAATATTTAATAAGATGAGAATTAGGATATAAAGCCGCTGTTAATCCATATTGAATCACATACCCAAAAAGCAAAAAAAAACTGAAATGTAATTAAAAGACACCTCCTCCTGATCTCATCCATTCCTAGTTCTTGCAGGTAAATGTGAATGCTCTGAAGGATCCGATCAAGGTCGACATCATATATGGTGCTTTGAAGAACCTATATAATGTGGAAAAAAAGATTAATAGCCACAATATCAACCTTCAAGAAAGAAACATGTCTATTATTACTGCTGCAACCTGAGAGAGCTTGTGTAGATTTTGCATCCAGAAAGCTGTTACTAACATATTTGCATAAAGACGCAGATGCTGATAGAAATTTCCTTCACCTCAAAAACCCAGGAATGTTGCAGTGAAAAGCAATAAAAATTACCTTCGTAAGTTTTATAAGACATTTCACAACCAAATCAGAGAACTTCTGATTTCGTATGACAAGAGATTCATCTGTTGCTGGAGATGGCCACCTTGATGGGTCCAAAGGCCTTAATAATTTAATCAGCACAACGAAGGATGATGTTCGATCAGCATTGTCCTAGATTAGGGACCAACAATAGATAGAAAATAATCAGGACAAGTCCGCTAAAACAAGGGTAAACAAGTATTACATTCTAGTTGATGAAATTTCAAAATCAGAATACCAAGATTTTTAGCATCAGAACATTCAATGCTTTCAAGAGCTGACTGCCATCATCCATGCGGGGTACTCTCTCATCAAGAAGCCAAAGCAAAAGCTCAGTAATGAGGATATCTAGGGTACTCTCCCTTACGGCATGAGCAAGAGTTTTATTCTGGAATGTCTGCAAACAAAGAAACAACCATAGCTTGAGATAATTCCCAATACGTGTTGGTCCATATCAAGAAATAATCAGTATCGGAGAAAAATTAACAGAAATTGGAAAACCACATACCTGCATGAGTGTGTTAAGAACATATTTGCAAGATCTTGATGATGCACCCATCAGACTGAAGTCAAAAGTTTTTGCTACCTGTAGTAGGTCTAGAATATGAGCAGTGTGAAGCATATACAGATAACAAAGAATGAGTCACATAAAGAATGATAAGTATTGTGCCTTATTTGCCAAGCAGGAAACAAGCTTGTCTGCATCTTTGACAATGTCGTCCATGGCACTGCCTTCAGGATCGTTGGTTGCTACGGCCAACAAATGGCACACAACTTTCATACCTTCAACAGACTGCAACAAGGGAAAGGCTTGATTGCATCAGTGAATAAATGACAGTTACTCTCCATCCTCTTTAATGATCATCCACAAAAGCAGAATAATCAGGACACAGACAACCAACCAAACAAACAAACAAACAGATAGAGACGCATAACTAGCCGTAATAAAAATGTGCAATAGACACAACAAGTGCATCAATGAGAATTTATGCCCAAAAAAATAAAAGGATAAACAAACACGAGCAACTGAAGGCATTAAACTCCAGAAATTGAATATGCAATACAGATTTCTAAATGTGAATGGATACAAACACATCAGCTGCTGGCGGACATATAAAACCCTATATTTCTTTAAACACGGGGTATAAAGGGCAGCCCGGTGCACTAAGCTTCCGCTATGCGGGGTCCGGGGAAGGGCCAGACCACAAGGATCTATTGTACGCAGCCTTACCCTGCATTTCTGCAAGAGGCTGTTTCCACGTCTCGAACCCGTGACCTCCTGGTCACACAGGAGCAACTTTGCCAGTTACGCCAAGGCTCCACTTCACACGGGTATGACAAGTGATTAAGATAAAACCACCTCTCCTAATCCAGGAAAAAGCAAAAGGAAAAACAACCTGCTCTGGAGAATCAGATGCTATAATATCCAGAGCTTCATTCCAGTCAGAGGGACCCATTGTACCAGAAACTGGCCGGAGATTCACAATTCTTTCCATCGGAAACTCTGTATTGTTATAAATATCCCTGGAAAGAAGAGATAAAACAAACATACAAAGAAAAAACCTTAGCTACCCAGATTCAGATTGGTAAGAGAAATAAGATGCAAGGATCTCTTGGTCACCTATTTAAGATTGGGCCAGCTAACGACCGTGAAACTTCACCACTCGGCTCCGCTATATCGGACCTAGAGATCAGAAAATCAACATTTCCAATGTCAAAGAAGAAAGTTACTGGCTTAAGGTAAAATACGAGCTCAATCTGGGTACAAAAGGCAGAACGAAAGCACAAATAGATGTGGTTATTTTTTCCCATAGAAACAAAACCGAAAACAAATTAGAACTTAAAGGAAGACCAGCAATTGGTAAAGTTACAAGGTCAAAGTGTTCAATAAATATTTTGAGAATGAGGGTCAAAGTGTTCTATAATTATCCAGGTCCTAGACAGTTGATTGTTAAATAAAATATTGGATTTGTGGTCCAGGGAAAGAGCTAATTTGATACCCGCAAAAGTTGTTTCTTGTCTAGTTGAAACGTAAACATTGAAAGTACACTCCTCCAAAAGAAGTTTCTTGTCTAGTTGAAACTTTAAACATCAAAAGTACGTGGTGTGTGTCCCAAGAAAAAAAAATCCTAAGCAATTAGATACCCGTTATCCCTCACTGAACGCCTTAAAGCAGCCCTAGCTTCCCCAGGTCTGCCCTCTCTTCTTTTGTCCATCTCTCTAGCCTGGAAAAGATTAGTGAGCAATTCTATGAGAAAGGAAAGAGAAGAAAATATGCAAGAAAACAAAGCAAAAAGAAGAGCAGAGAAGTTTACCTTCCACTTGAATCTATCATCTAGCATGCTTCTCTGCGCCTCCGTCAGCTTTCCAAGATATTTCCAAATGTCATCACCTGAAAGAAGTTTAATTAGAACCTTAACCAACATCCAACCTATTCTACCATCCATCCAGTTCTATGAAAAAGGATCAGAAGGCAAAACACACACACTGGGGGCTCAAGGAATCTTACAACCAATAGCCAGCTAAACTCAACCTTATAACAGTATTAATAACTAATGAGCCTCATTGAACACAAATTTTACTGTTTTGAAAGCCTCGCAAGTTACAGGTCTGGATTAAGGGTGGCTAACGGGCGGAGCAGGGCGGGTTGAAAACGGATAACATATCCGACCTGACTCATATTTAATACGGATAAAAAATGGGTTAACCAGCGGACAATATGGATACCCATATTATCCATGGCTTCTTGAATATGATCACTTTTGGTAGAATTCCTAGTCTCCAAACTTGAGGAACCCCCAATTTGAGTCTTTGCAAATGTAAAAGTTAAACTCATTGGTTATCCATATTTTAAGTGGGTAATAATATGGATATCCATATTATCTATGGCTTCTTGAATATAATCACTTTTGGGAGAATTCCTAGTCTCCAAACTTGAGGAACCCCCAATTTGAGTCTATGCAAATGTAAAAGTTAAAACTTATTGGTTATCCATATTTTAAGTGGGTAATATGGATCTTTATCCATATTCGACCCATTTTTAAAAAGTTCATTATCCAACCCGTTTTTTAGTGGATAATATGGATGGATAACTGTTTTTTTAAATCCATTTTGCCACCACTAGTCTGGATGTAAGTTGCAAATATAGCTGCCAGCAAAATCTTTGTGATGATGAAGATACAGTTACCATTTCCAAAATTAAAGAGCCTCATAGAACACAAACACTCACCAAGAATCTTATAGCCAGTAGCAAGAGTATTCAACGCAGCCTTCCTAGTCTCACCATCTCGTTCTGCTGTTAAATTTGCAACATCTTTCAACGATTTTAATTGTCCACCAATCTATCAGCAGGAAATACCATATGAGGATTAAGCAACTTCTACAGATGAGAAGATCAATACACTCGGATCTTTACCTCAGCTTCATGATTATCCAGTAAGTAGCCAACAAGGTCAGCACATTCTATACGAGTTCGATTGCTCCTTGATCGTAAACCTTCCAAAATATAAGGAAAAGTCTTTGCAGCAGAATATGCATGAATGATTTGCTTAGTAAGCTCTCGCATTTTTTCACGCACTTTTTCAATGTTATGGCCAGACTGGAAAAGATGTAAAGAAGATATCAGACAGGTCAGTGTTAATATGAAATAAATAAGAGGAGATGTTACATGTGTAAACCATCAGTTAACACGCCTAAAATATCCCTTTGTGTGTGAATGTAACATCAAACAATGTCAGACCACAATAAAAACCAAATGTCTAACATAGTCTGCTATCCGAAGGCAAACTCATACCAGAAAATGCAGTTAGCTCGACTTACAGGTATGTCTATATACACACAACTAAAAGATGAATATAAAGGGTATTGCCGGTAATAAATAAGAAAATACTAAGGATCCAAGCTATCAATAACTATTTCTCGTCTTACAATCGGTTGCTTTTCATGTCTCTCTTCTTTTGCCTCTGCAGGAAGAGAAAAATGTTGATTTTGCTAAAGAAAAGGATGGGGTTGCCATTGCCAAATGATCATCACACTCATTAACCACTTATCTTATGTCTTCGTTCCCTCTCCCGGTAAAGAATAAACAAAGAACCGATAAGAGTTTGAACAAAGAACTGATAAAAGGGATATTTTACGGTATGGTACCAAGGACAGGAATCTTTCAACCTTGTTAACTGCAAATCACTTATCAATCACAAGATTATTGGGGAGACTAGGAATTGAGAATCTCTGAATACACAATAAAAGTTTGTTGATGAAGTGGCTATGGAGGTCCAACCTAGAGGAGCAAGCTTTATGGTGTAGGGTGATATCTGACCATCGTGCACCAAACCAACCAAAAAAACATGTGGAGTGTCAGTTTGCAGAAGCATAAGGAATCTATGGCCTGAATTCAGGTAACTTAGAAACATTAGAGTTGGAAATGGCAGTAAAACTGTGTTCTGGCAGGATGTGTGGATTGACCATGGTACCATGAAGGACCAATTCCAGATCTATACGAGTTACTGGTCTCCAACAATGCTACATAACTGCAGAATAAATGGGACTTAGCTAATTTAGAAGAAATATGAATGATTGGGAATGCCAGAGTATAAATGGAAAAGTTTCAAGGTTGCTCACAAGGCTTAGATATATTGAAATGGAAAGGCTCCTGCAAAGGAGAATTCTCAGACAAGTCTTGTTAAAGAGTTTTGTCCAAGGAAGTGCAGCACCTCAACCGTGGCCTTGGAAACAAATATGTAAAGTCAAATGCTACTTATGTGGCAGCCAAACAGAAACCATTAGCGATCTTTTTTTGCACTGTCCTATTACAGACAAGCTATGGCAGCTAGTTCTCAACTTTGCTGAATCAAATGGTCCTTGCCTGGGAATACAAGGGATCTTTGTTGTTGTCGGAATAGGCAAGGTCTGGACAAAGCAAGAAATAGCTGGTGTGATTTACAATTCCAGCTTGTATCTGGTTGATGATATAGAGAGCAAGGAACTCAAGATGTTTCGCAGAGAAGCAAAAATCGAGGATTAAGTTAGACTGTACCATTTTATTTCACTTTTGGTGTAAAAAGGAATATGTGAATGAGGCCGAAATTTTATTATAATTCATAGAGGTTTTTGCTCACTTGTACAGTAACACCAGCGCTACTTTTGTACTTTTTTAACACAATTATTACCATTTCAAAAAACATAACAGAAACAACCTGAATTAGAAATGCTGCAACAAAACACAAATGAACGTACAAATAACACACATAAAGAACATCATAACAATTTTAAGTAAAGGAGCTCATTGGACAAGTACCTTCTCAACCAAGCAAGGAAGGAAAATGGCAGCTTCAGCTTCAGTCATCATGTATCCCTCGTTCCTTAACATCTCAAAAAGCTCAGGCAGAAATTCCAGAACCTGAGAAACATTATCACAGTAAAGTACAGAAATGACTTTAGGAGAGAAAGCAACAAAGCTAAAAAAATAATGAGATCTCATTATGGGAAAAGGACAAATAAAAAGAATAGGGATAGAAATAAACCTTGAGCAGACAGGAAGTGTTTGATTCACAGAACCTCAGGACAAACCATCTCAGGACTATATCAAGAACTTCAATTAGTTCCTTCGCAATTGATGGAAGCGCCTGAAAAGTGCAAAAGGAATATGGTTGATGATAGCGAATTAACAAAAGAATGTTAATTTAATGATAAAAGCACCTTTTGCAGCATCTCTATTCCATCAACTTGTTTCTTGAAGTCTGTACTTAGAAGCCTCCGGTGCAAATCCTCCCTGAAGTACTTCATCAGGTCACTCTGTGCCATTAAACATTAATGAGATTAACCAATCATATGAAAACTACTGCAAGAATTATAATTCTACAAAATGCAACTTCTTGAAACCTCAAGATCTTGTATTTGTTCCAATCGTGGCTCTTCAAACTTAAATCTGCGAACAACTATTCTCTCTCTTTCACCCTGTAAATGTATTCGGTCATAGCATTACTGAACAAAAAGGAATAGATAACACAAATACAATATTTCCTGAAATTAGATATACCTTGTGCGAGTCCTTAACATTTATCAAAGCTTGTGACTGGACACTAATGTCCTGAACAGACATTAAGGTCTCTTGCCTTGAGTTCCTTGTAGGAATAGCTCTCTGGAGAAATAAATAAAAGGAAGAAAATCAGTACTCCAGTTTCTCCCTGCCTTGAGCCGTTCAAGCATATAAAAACATACCGAAGCTCCAGCTCTGTTTCCATGCCTAGAAGCACGTTCAGCAGGACCAGTGGATTTTCCAATCTTTGATCCCACCTTTGATGTTGTCCCAGTGGAAGATGTTCTTCCAAGATCGAAAGTTTCTGATAAGGAATAACAATTTATTGCAATCACGTAAACCAAGATAAAATGATAGATTTGTAAAGAGCTACCACTACTAATGGACTAAAAAGAAAACATAAAGTTAGAACATAGCATATAGTGTACCTTGAAGTACCCCATATGGTCTCAATCGCTCAACAACGATAGCTAAAGCAGGTCCTTGAATATCTTTCAGGTTCTTGCTCACCTACGTTAGAGAGTAACGCAATAAAAAAGAAAGACATATCAAGCAACTAATTGGTGTAAACAAGCAGAAAGAGCTTAAAACTATTTAAAGCTCATATACCATCTCCTGCCCGCACACTCTAAGAAGTTCTCCAAAGCATGCTTCTGCTGCTTTCCGAACATCAGCAGATTTGTCCTAATATATAAAATGCAATCGCTTTAGTGCAAGATATAGACAATAAGGTCCAGTAAAAGGAGGCAGAGAATATACGCCAGAAACTGAACGATTAGGGCAAGAGCCATCAATTTACCGTCATAGCAGATGCAACAGGCTTTAGAAGGTGTACAGCATCAGGAAATTCTTTCATTCCAGTTAGTTGTTTGGACAACCAATCAAAGAGATCTTTGCGGCCCTCCGCACCAAGTTTGGCATCAGTTAGTGCACCAGTAATGTAAGGCACCTACAACAACATGATTGTCAATGAGTTGAACAATGCAAGCCAAAACCAGAATATACTACAGAACTTGAGAGATGGAGACCATTTTATCAAGATGAACAGCAGCAAGCCAAGAATCTAGTGTATTCAAAGTGCACTCTCTCATGTGCTTTTTATTGTCACCAAGACATTTCAATATGTCCGACAGAATCCCCTGCAATGAAGAACATAATTGAATAATCAATAACAAGAAAAAAGACTGACACAACAAAATTGAGGTTCTGATCAAATTGAACCTTGCTCGACTTCTCAACTGCTGGTCCCATAGCTGAAGCAACACCACCAACAGTTGACAAAGTTGCTATGACTAAATTCTTGTTGCTGTCACATAGACGGCCTCTAAGAGCACCAAATAACTCTCCTGCACAGTTAAGGGAAGAAAATATGAAGTGTCGAACGCACACAAGTACAATTGCAAGATACCACTCACAACACAATAAGAACACCATACCAGTTCCAGTAGGTTGAATGCGCTTATTGGCCTCTTCCAATATCTTATTTACAGTTTCAATAGATTCTAAGCGGGCCTGAAACGGGAAACAAGAATTACAGCAGAACTACTAAGACACAAATTGCTGATAACATCAATAACATAGGGCGTACCTTCCAGTCAGAACTTTCCAGTCCCTTGAGCAAAGCAGGAGTTATCTTTCCACTAATGTCTTCACGAGGAAGACTATCTAGGCCACCGCTAGACAAGGAGNCTCTTTCCACACTGCACTCTTCAACTGAGTAATCGTCTCCGGCTGTATAAGGGAGCCTAATTTACTTTCAATCTCTTCGAGACTCATCTCTGCAGGCTGTTCATATATCAAAATTGAATTATTAATCACGTGTGATTTCTACAGTATTAAGAATGATAAAAGGATGCTAAGCTAAAAGCTAAATTTGGATTAGAAATCACCTCAACATCTTCAACTTCAACAGGCTTAGATGCCTTTAACTGAGTAGCTCCATCACCCCTCTTATTTGTACCAGATTTTGCAGATGCCCCTTTCTTACTAGGAGGCTTAGAATCATAAGGAGAAAAAATGAGGAAGAACAAAAAGAAGAAGAGCAAAAGAAAGATAATTAGGACGCTCTGGGTAAGGAAAACTTATGGCAGGGAATAGAATGCAAAACTTACAGCGGCCTGGACAGGTTTCTTTCCACTAAGCATGCTCGCTGCAGACCTCTTAACAAGTGATCCAGTTGAAGCCTACAAGATGAGTAAGTTTAATATGCTTAAAACTGAAAGAACACAGACTAGAAATGATCTAAGAATAAAATAGGGAAAAAGATATCGACAAACAAAATCCATCTAAGACTAATAAGGACAGATGATTTCAAAATATTGAATACCCTAAAATATTTAAAAGAAAAGCAAAAGAAAGCAAAAAAAATGATGTTTGCCATCGTATGACATAGAGAGTGGGATCTACTTGAATAAAACTCAAAAGACAAGAAAAAAACTTTTTAAACAGCCCCAACTAGCTAGAACCAAATGTCAGTGTACCAACGAATGCTCCAAATACAAATACATCAACTGGAGTTAGAACCAATAAGTCAAATTAACTTGCGAACTTATATTTACGAGTGTGGTAAAGTAAAGCTGAAAAGATGCCTACAATCTCCCAAAATAACTCAAATAGTATTGATTACTATATGATAAGATAGTCACCTGGGTGGAAGACATAATTCCTCCGGATGATGGGACTGCACCTGAGAGTTATTTACAATTGAGCAAGTTAAGACAGTCATGAAAGCAATAAACAGATAATAGTACAACATATAGAATGGAAAACTTTTAGAAGTAAAAAAAAGAATTTCAAACCAGAGCTGGATGTGGAAACTGGATCACCACCAGAGCCCCCAATCATTTCGGATAACTTCTTCTTTCTAACATCATCTAGTTTCTCCAACGACTTTTCCAGAGGTCTCATGCCAACCGACTTGATAAAGAAGGAAAAACACAGCAAGAGGGGTCAATGGGATAGTTGAGGGAGAATCTCTACAAATAGAGAGAAAACTCCCAGAAATAAGTACCTTGGCCACAGCTGCCAAGGCTGAAAAAGCAGCATCTCTAACTTCTGGTGTTCCATCATTCAGGCTCTGTGCGACATAATATACCAGTATCATCAACTTGGCATCCATTCAAAAGAGAAAATACAGGCAAGACAAAATAATCTAAGAGAGTGTATCAGGAGATGAAAAGTAGCAACGTCACTGCAACCCATGTAGGTCCACCTCAACATTCAAATAAGCAACGAGAAAAGGTAGCAAGTGAATAGAACTTCCAATCAAAGGAAGAAGAGATAGGGAAGACTTGACGAAACCATCTAAGACACATGCTACCAGATGATGGAAAGGATAAATGTCCTTGCAACGGTAAATATCCAATCATAGAATTCAATGAAGCCACATGATATACTGCAATTGAAAATAAAACAGCATCTTTTTCTTAAAAAGGAGGAAAGATATACTGCAATTGAATACATGTTATTTGGGCATCGAAGATGCTCTTTTATACACATTAAACTTCATTTTCATACATATTAAATGCAATTTAAACTTCACCAGGCTAATAAGGGCAGCGAGGTACACAAAATATCCCCTATGGGAAGGGCTGGACCACGTTGGTCTGTTGTACCAAGCTAAAGAAGCATTCAAATATTAATTGTATACTGAAACATCCTAGGACATTCTACTATATACAAAAAGATGACAATCAGAGAATTTCATCCCAAGGAAAACAATACATAGCTGAATGTCATCAAAGTAACAAACAACAATCTTTTCTACCATGATTTAGAAGTTCAACAATCATGTTTCAATAATGTGATGTCAGCAAAGAGAATAAAGCAATCTGCAGAACAACAAAGGATTACCAGAAAATACAATTGTACTCCCAAAACAAAGTCCAATAGTTGATTTTGTGTATGCACAATACAACAACAACAAACCCAGGGGTCTGGGGAGGGTAGTGTGTATCGAGACCTTACCCCTACCTCCCCCCGGAAGGTAGAGAGGTTGTTTCTGATAGACCCTCGACTCAAGGATTTTGTGTATGCACGATGCAGAAGTTAAACCACCAATCATACTAGAGTTGTAAAGAAAGGAAAAAGGTAATACTTGAGAGTAGATATCACAATTAAAAACAATTTATCAAAAGAAAGACTAGGCACTATTAGAAACAAAAGTACATAGTAACCCATTGAACTAACCTCCATACAAATGGGAACATATTCCTTATGTGCTTTTAGAATAACAGCCTTGTTGCTTGTTTCAATGCAAAATGTCACCCAATTTAAAGTCAGTGATCGCACTAGAGGAACTTTATTTTTCGTGGCAGTCTTGACATCTGCAAAAGTACGTAAATCAATCACGTATTTTTTCCAATCCAATATTTCACTTTAGTGAAATCAATTTACAAGGCAAAGGACAACATATTCAACCTCTCCATCACAAAAACATGAAGTATTTCGACCAATGCAGTGAGAGAAAAGTAAAACGTTTGGAAGGACACCTTTCAAATATAGCATAAGAAGCCCCATCAACTTTTGATGATATATAATATTAGTTCACTGGTTGAATTGATGTAGACAGAAAAGTCTCCGCTTAAACAAAATGGTCAAGAGTTTTGGGATGGAAAGAGCAAAAGAAACATGAAAAAGCAAGAAATAACTCCACACTACTACAAGCCCTTCTGGAAAATCCCCAGGCAGTAGATGACCAATAACCAAAGCGCTTCCTCAATGTAGCATCTGGGGAGTGTTAGACAGTAAATGCACCCATATTGTTATAGATGTTGTTTCTTGGATTCGTGACAATCACCGCCAAAATCTTATTCAAACTTTGACAGAATTGAACATTGTTCATTCAAATTGGGGACTAAGTTGTAGCTAATGACAATTGTTAGAAGTACTATTACAGAAAATATTGAACAAAGTCAGTACGATAGAACAGATGCATGATTGGATGTTTGTCATCTTCACAATGTAAGACATGAAAGTCTTCTAGTACAAATTTAATATAGTTCTTTACTTATTTTACATAAAGATGTCTAGGAAATAGATAGTGAGAGTGAGTATGTCATCACAATGGACACTGAGAAGCAATACGGTACTACCAAAAAAAAATCACAAGTTAAATATATAAAATCAGTTGCGGCATCTTAAAGAATATTTGCAGCATCTGAAGAAGGCTTCTTAGGTTTGAAAATGGAACCTGCCTTCAACAATATCAGTGAGAATTAAGCACCCTGATTTGTGCATCGCCTGGAGTGTTTGAGTAAGTGCATCCGTCAAAGTTGGTTTTTTCTCTTTCAGTTTTTCCTATAAGAATAGAATAAGGAACAGGGAAATATAACAGCTTTCCTTATTGGATGATCAGCTAAAGGAAGAATATTTCAGTTAAAAGACACTAAACAAATATCTAAGAACAGGCTACACAAATTGGTTACATGCATGATTTACTGATAAATGCAATGTGCTATAACTATGGGTGTGACAACGTATCCAATAAGAACATGAAAAGTGTTGTTATTTTTTCTCTCCCCCCACTTGGCATCCGATTTCAATTACAGCAGAAAGAAACCAAAGAAGGAGAAGAATAATTGGAGGTTGAAACAGAATATGAGGCAGTAATGTACGTTAATGCTGCAAACACCTCCAGATCGACAATAGGAAAATGCATCCTCCTAAAAGCCCCAAGTTCCCTTTCTTTTTTTGATAAGGTAAATTGTATTAATCAAAAGGGAGAGAAACTCCCGTATACAAAAAAAAAAAAAAAAAAAAAAAAAAAACCC